TATTCTTCTTTTTTTTGTTATTATATTAGTTGTGACCTCCTAGTATACTATAAAAATATCCTTATTTGTTAAATATGAAATAAAACTATTTCAGTATACAGTATAATGTATAATTGGGACCAATTAAAATTGCCGATTTGTTCATTCAAACAGACCTTTGTATTAATGACTTACTATATAATAAATAACTGTAGCTTAAATGGTCCCAAGTCTATTACTTTTTATTTCATTTTGACGTTTAAACTAATACTAATTACCGCATAATATTAATAGTAAGTGAAATAGACGTTTATTCACATAAAAAACTTACTCTCAATTTTTTTTATTACTTTGGTCATATGTCATATCTCCTGAAATATACTATATCGACTTTATATTATTATATTACTATTTAAAATGTAATCTAATATTTTTTGGATTTCCTTGGATTTCTGTGGATTTCTTTAGATTTCTTTGGATTTCTGTGTATTTCTGAGGATTTTCTTGGATTTCTTTAGATTTCTTTGGATTTCTATGGATTTCCTTGGATTTCTGTGGATTTCCTTGGATTTATTTGTCAAAAGTGGATTTCTGGTGTACACATTTTGGTCAGGTGTTTACCCCTCGCATTGTGTTTAGTGAAGATAAAGAGAAAAATTAAATTACATTATTTGTAATAATAATGTTACATTTGTAAATTTACTTATAATTTTTAGTGTATGCAAAACGACAGTTTTGTTATAAATCTGGATGACCCCTTCAGATTTCTAGAGGTCTCGAAATAGAAGGTTTTACTTGATACATTTTACTGAACAGGTAAGACTGACAGGTAAAACTTTATGTGTAGACGGGACTTAAGGCTATGTACAAGAAAAAAATATTTTTAGATATTTTTATAAATATGTGTACCTATTGTAGTTTTAGTATAAACCAGTCCACATTATATTTACTAGAAAGTTTGTCTAATCTGTTTATAATGACGTTTAAAGTACTCTTTATTACGCCATACTTATGAAACTAACGACTGTTCTTTCTACTGAGTGTTCATAAAATATTAATAATATGCGCTATGAAACATATCTACACCATAGAATTCTTAATATCATTATAGAAAATAAATACTAGTATCAGAAATCTCAGCAAATTCTGCAGATAAAATAAGTAATAAAGTTCGTATAAATTTACATATGTCGTAAAACGGCTTAGTTTCGGAGATACAGGGTGTAGAAGTTTCATTTTTTTCTCAAATAATTTCTGATTCGATATCAATATGACTTCTACTTTTGTAGGGAGTGGCACCTACACATTTTTAACTGGTTTAAAAAGTAATAACTTTTCATCCGTACCTGTATAAAACTACTGAGTGAAAAAATATAAAAAAGGTTTCTTGGCAAAAATCGCCAGGAGTAATAAATACTTGTAATAAATCGCCTCGAGATATTCAGAATCGAAATAGTCAATACACGTCATCATTGACATAAATTTAACATACATGTTATTTGACTAGATAGTTATAAGATTGAAATCATATATTTAAAATGTCTTTGTGGCAAAGGTTTAACAGAATCTGTTTCATCATATTTTTTTCTAGAAAAAATTATGATTAATTTTTAAAAAAAAATAAAAAGTTTCCAAATTTACCATTTCAGTCAAATAACTATCTGGTTAACATGTTTATTTTTTGTCAATGATGACATGTATTAATAATTTTCAATCCAAATATCTTGAGAATAGTTACTCGTAGCGATTTTTATGCAGCCTTTTTTAAGAAAAAACGGCGGAAATGTATATTTTCTCTTTTTAAACCAGTTAAAAAACATATAAGTGGCGCCATCTACAAGAACGAGTCATATTGATATTGAAATCAAATTTCTCATGACAAAAAACACCCAAACACCAATTTTGATCCAAATATCGACATTAGTTCAGAAGTTACCTTGAAAAAATTGAAATAAAAATTTCTACACCCTGTATCTCTGAAAGGAAACATTTATACGAACTATATACGAAGTTACCCGAATACAATTCGGGCCACCCCGTATATCTATAGATATTTCCTGCAGAAACCCATATTATGCTAATGAGATCAACAATAAAGTGGTCACAAAAGTTTGCTTTTATCAATGAACTTGTTTTTGCCTTGATTACCAGACCACGTTAACATTTTAGTTGTATAATATCACACAATTTTTGTGAATATCAAACGTTAAAAACGTGTTCATACGGTTTGTTACTTAATTGTTATTATAATGTATTTAGTTTTAATTATTGTAAATATCAATTCTTTTGGCTATTTTTAGTACTTAGTTTCTTGTAAATTTTGATTTGCAAATGTTAACAAATGAAATCATCCAGTCGAACATTGTGCCAATTTAAACAGTTAGACAAAAAAAATAGAATGATTTACTGGATCGTTTTGTTTTTTCTGTGAAATGTCTGGATAGGATTTTGTTAAATAATTATTCTTCTTTATTATTGCCTGGAAAAGAAAAATAGTGTGAAATATCCGGAAAATGTTAGTCATGACATCCCATATTAAGAAATAAACTACTTTTTTGGGTCATATATGTATAAAATGTTTACCTTTAATTTATTGAAACTGAAATTCAGTACTTCTCCATGTTCAATAGTTGTAAACATAGTTTAACTTGGAAAATAGCAAAACCAAAGATCATCAATTAGTCCTGAGGCCTCTAGAGATTAATATGCCGGGTGTTTAGGCACGTCTACATCTATACTAGGCTTAATTTGTCTTTAGGCAAATGTTAACGACTGTTTAAACGCTTTAGCCATCTGCGTATTGTAGAAATTATTAGAAAATATGGTAAAATTTCTATGGTACTCTTAATTTGGAAATTCTAAACTTGGGAAGTAGTAAAGTGAAATGTATTATTTACATTAAAATGTGAAGAAAAGTTTACAGAAGAACTTGAAGTGTGGTATTGGAGGGAGATTTGATAACATTATCAACATCATGGGAAAAAACAATATATTTATTGTAAATAGATTTTTAGTTCTGGTTTATAGTTTTGAAAATGTTGACACCAATTATTGTTTCTCATAAAAGTAAGTATAATAAATAAAAGTTAAAAGAATTATTGCAATTAATAATGCATTTTTAAGCATATAAAAGCATGAACATTATTGGAGTAGAAGTAAATATGATATTATGACATGTAGAAAAAAGAATTTAAAATTTAAAAACCGTTAACTGAGACTTGAGACTTGACTGACAATCTGTTTTGGACAAGTCCAGTAAAATTGCAATTTCTATACGCTCTCAGACCATCAAAGAACCTGTTTCAGGTTTTAGCTTTGAAACAACATGATAGTAGTTTGATCTATTAAGAGTTTTTTATTGTTTATCAGGCTTTTAGGATTGGTTCATAGAATTTAAATGTTTAAAAATTATTTGTCTAAAAAAACAGTTCCAAAATTTGCAATGAAAAAAAAACGCACGTGTAAAAATGCGTAAAAAAACAACAAAAATTTGAAATCTACGTCAAAAACGTGATAAAAATAAATCAAATATTGATACACGATACACATACCATATAGGTACACATACCGAAACAAAAATGTGGCTATCATAAAATAAACATAGACAAACCTAACTTAGGAAGTAAGATGTATCCTTGAAAATAAGGTGCAAACAAAATCGCAAATCTAACAATAGATCAATATAGGCAAATGCAAACAAAAATAAACTGTTCTTCAGTATCTTTACAGCATACTTTCTACGAAGTAAAATTGAATGAATCTAGCGTTATATTATCCATACCCATATTCTTGGACTAACAGTAAATTAAGATGAATAGAATTATTAGAATACTAACTGAAAACAAAAATATGAAAACTTACAACAATATTAATTATTGATATACTATACGTTGAATAAAACAAACTTCAACAAACCTACCAGGGAGCAAGGGATATCTTTACATAAAAATCCTTACACACAAAAAAGGACAAAACTGACTCCAACGGTCTTACAAAAAAGCAAACACAAAAGAAATATACTAAATTATTACAAATCTAAACAAAAAATAAGACTATTTTACAGTAAAAATTGTATTTTAAACTCTAGTTTCGTTACCAAGTAGCAGATTACTCATCATCAATTAGGTTAAGTCAACTTTGTTATTATAATAATTTACTTTAATTTTTTTTTCAACGAATACAAAACGACACTTGTTGTATCCTAAAATTGAATGATTCAATCTGTTCCCTATACGATCTTCCGTCTTAATTCGGCCTTTTGGTCTGTACACTGTACACAAATGATTTTCTTGATACGTTTTGACTGAACCGGTAAGACTGGCAGGTAAAACGTTAAGTGTAGACGGTACTTAAGTTATATTTATCTTTTAAGTCAACACGACATAAAAGTAATCAAATATTTGATCTGCAATATATATAAAAAATGTAGCTATTATAAAAAAAATGAATACATCGAGATTAAGAAACAGAAAAGTATCCATAAAACAAATTGCAAATTAAAAAGCAAAATAGAAGAGTTAAATAAACAAAAATAATTGACACTAAAAGTTTCACTAAAGAACTAATTAGAAAAACATAAAGCGCTAAAAACAGTATAATTTGAATTAAAAAAACTGACAAAACCATTAAATATTAATGCAGGCTATACCGGCATAAACAGGTTGCTATCGTAAGACAATTTAAAAAATTTACCTTAGGAAGCTAGATATATCCTTGAGTAAAAAACGCACCAAAAGAAAAACTAAACAAAAATAAGGGCAAAAAAACTGTCACCAAAGGTGCTTAAAAGCACACACTCCGAATATAATCCTATATAGAATTTATTCGCAAATTCCTGTACTTCACGCACCGGCACATTCGAACCGCAACTGAAAATAACATAGAGGCAAAAAAGTTAACTACCAAGCAACAAAAAAAAATGTGGAAAAGCAACATAAAAAACATACAAATAAATATTGATACATGCTATGCCGGCAAAAAATCACACACATTGGTATCCTAAAACAAGATAATAAATTTACCTTAAGAAACTAGATATATCCTTGAATACAAAACGCACAGAGTATCGCACCAAAAGCGAAACTAGACAAAAATAAGAGCAAAAAACTGTCACCAAGGGTCCGAAAAAAGCACACACTCCGTATAATATAATCCTACAGAATTTCTTGTACTTCACGCACCGGTTGGTTTGAATCGCAACTGAAAACGATGTAGAACCAAAAAAAGTTAAAACTAGCTAGCAAGCAACAAAAAATGTGGAAAAATAACGTAAAAACGAGCACGCCGCTGTCGATCGTACAGCGGCAGCGTGTCGGCGATTCGCGGCGCGATCCGGTCGACAATAAAACCTGCGAATGGCGGGCAGCAGGCCGACCGAAGCCAGCAGGACGGCGGCAGGAGTGCGCGCTATTTGGAGGTGGAGGAGGAGGTGAATTGGAGACGGACACGCGGTGCGAATTTCGAATTTTTTGGTAAAGATGGTTAAAAGAAGTAACAAACTAGGTAAAAACTGTTTTGGTATTCACCATTTTCTTTTGGTATTGTCAGAGAATCAGATTACATTAGATTAGACTTTTGAAGTAGCCATTGGCCAATTCCACTGACATTTGGGTTAAGTGCTAACATGCAATTTTTAGTACAGAGAAAAATTTCAACTATATTTATACTTTTTTGTATTTTTCTTTACAACAGTATGGACATTTGCAAAAGTAAAATAAATAAATATAAATAAATGCCTTTATTGTCAAAAATTTTTTCAATTTGTAGACAAAGGTAAAGATAAACAAACAAACAATACAAAATAAGTATAGAAATTACATTGTCAGTCTTATTGTTCAAAATAAACATTTATAAATGTATACAATGTCAAAGAATAAAAAAAAATAAAAATAAGATTCGAAAATATTTTGAAAGTTTATAGTAAATATAACAAATATAGTAATAGCAAATATTAGACCACTGTTTACAAAATCAAATTCGATTATCAAAATATAAGTCATTTGCGGCGTAGAAAGCCTTGTCTAGTAAATAAGATTTCAATGCTTTGCGAAATGAAGAAAATGATGTTATGGATTTGATTTCAAATGATAGGTGATCGTGCACTTTTTTCGAGTTGTATCATATTGAACTGTTAACTAACTCTGAGCGTGGGGTAGGTAGATAAAGATCTTGCTCCGCGTTCCTGAGTGGATAAGTGTGAGATGGCCTTTCTTGAGAAGCTGATACATGCTTACGTATTAGGCAAACGAATTCAAATATAAATAAGGAAGGAAGAGTTAATATTTTTAATTTTTAAAAAGTCCTGGCAATGAGTTCTGTTGTTTAGTCCCAGCGAATATCGAACAACTCTCTTCTGGAGCTTGAAACGGGTTTAACCATTTGATTGACGGGTTTAACCATTTAGAACAAGCAAAAACTTTTATGCAGAATGTATTTTTCTCAAAAATTTAATAAAAAATAAAGACAATCCATTGTAAAGACAATCCATTCTGCATCCATGTTGCAAAGATGGTTAATCACCGCGACCTTAAAGATCTATTGTGTGTTCCCCTTTCTTAAGTTATAACTCATCATACATGGGGATCTTCTTGTTTTAGGGGGGACAGGGTATTTCCCATCCTCCTCTGACAACAGATGTTCATCCTCTGAGGAGTAGGCATGTACAGGGTGGGTCAAACTCGACGCTTTTAAATGGAAACACCCTTTTCTATAGGAGATACGCGAAAACTAATATCGGTGTCTGGAGCTCAATTTTCATCAAAAACATGATGGTGAAAACCGCACATCAATATCTGTTACCGTTTCGGAGTTACGGGGTGTTTTTCAAAAATGTGCATTTTTAACAAATCGCTGTAACTTTTTTGCTATGGAAAATTTTGTATTTCTATAAAAACATTTCCAAAGCACCTTTTTACGTAGAATTTAATGGTTGTAAGTATAATTTTTTTAAAATTAATAATTTAAGAGTTATCAACAGAAAAATTGATTTTTTATTTGGGACACCCTCTATATTTTTAAGTAACTGAAAAGAATTTAAAATTACCTTTCCAAAAATATAGCACACTTGTTATTTTGTTATAATCCCCTTCAAAATACAGAATTTTTAAAAGTTCGCCACTTTTAACTAGTAGGCTTTGGACCCCATATTGATGAAATGCCCTTAATGGAACTCGAAAATATTTTTTTTGCAGCAAGACGACACACAAATTTTTGCAGCCAATTTCAAGAATAATTGAATAGCCAAGATCCCAAGATCCCAACCAAGATCCCAGCCGTTGGCCGTCGAGGCCGCCTGACTTAGTGCCCATGGATCTAATCCTATGTATATATTTGCGGAAGAATAAAGGTTCCTTATTCTTCCGTATAATCTAGACAAGAATTAGGAATACTTAGCAGTTATAAGAGGGTAACTTTCACCCCCACTGAGTTAATGAATTCCGCGAGAAATGTTCAAAAACTGCCCCGTCTGTCCATAACAGAAGACGGTCGATATTGTAGCAAAATCTCATGTCTTAGTTTGCTATTTATTTTTATTGTTATTAGAAATAGTTCAAATGTGTTGTGTGTGTGATGTTGGTTAAATATATTATAAATTGTTATAAAATTCGGCATCTCTCATAGCAAATGTTATTTTCGTTTTAATTGATGCTCGCTCACAGCTAGAATTTTTTTGCATTACAGCCGGTGCCGTTCACAGCCTATCTTATTTAAAGGGGGCGCATTTTTTTATACTCTATATCTCGAATAGGAATCGAGCAAAATATCAAGTGTGTTATATTTTTGGAAAGGTAATTTTAAATTCTTTTCAATAAATTAAAAATATACAGGGTGTACGATATAAAAAATCAAATTTTCTGTTGATAATTCTTAAATTATTAATTTAAAAAAAATTATACTTAAACCATTAAATTCTACGTAAAAAGGTACCTTGGAAATGTTTTCATAAAAATACAAAATTTTCCATAGCAAAAAGCGATTTGTTAAAAATGCATATTTTTGAAAAACACCCCGTAACTCCGAAACGGTAACAGATATCGATATGCGGTTTACACCATTATATTTTTGACAAAAATTGAGCTCCAGACACCGATATTATTTTTGTCTATCTCTTGAAACTATAAAATTCTTAGGTACGAAGTTCGTGTGATGTAACGCTGTTAAATTGTGTAAAGATCTGTAAAAATTAAGTGAAAAAGAACCGAAACTGTGCGACGCGTTATGTTGTCACATTTCTAAATGATAATAAAATGACAGAAAAATATCAACATGAAAAGGATAGCATAATTGCATGGGTGCAATAACACTCAATACAACTCTCCCAGAACAATATTTTACAAAACAGTAAAGAAGTTTGGAAATGTATAAAAGGGATTAACCATTTTTAGAACAAGCAAAAACTTTTATACTGAATGTATTTTTCTTAAAATTTTAATAATAAAAAAAGGTTTTCTTCTTGTAAAGACAATCCGGGGACATACTGTATATTGAATTTTAAAATACATGAAAATTTTAAGGTATATCCGTTTTTCGTGTTGCTTAGTGTATTAAAAAATATGGATGACATTAAAAACAACTACTACTTTTAATCGTAAAATTGCATTTGCAAGATACTCACTCCAAGTCAATAGTCTTAAAATAGCCGTTTCAGTAAACAGGTCTTTATTCTAAATGACACATCGCGAAGTTGAAGCAGTCAGGAGATACAACTATGTGTGTTACTTTTGCTTTATCTCTTTTATTTCCCTTTATTGTTATGGACGCTTTTGTACAAGTTTTTGCCCACTTAAGCGTACGATATGGACGATATGATTCCTGCATCGTACTTATTTCAATTTAAACTATTGTTCAGCGCAAAGGAAGTGCTAACTCGTATTTGTGAATCGTAATTGATATTACGAAAATATTTGAAAGTTTATGACTGAGTATCAAGATACAACATCGGTCAAGAGGGCGAAACAAATCATCTTCTAATAGTTAAGTTTTCGCTTATATAAAAATGTAAGAAATATGACGTTACAAGAATAGATATCAACCAGAAGCCTAACTTAGAGTTTGCGCGGGAAACATCGCCTAACCTAAAAATAGCGGTAGAACCTGTCAACGCACTGGCGTTCGCAGTTCACTTATGTTTTGCATTTTGCTGAGAGCAGTAGCTGTTCGTCATTAGTAAATATTGAATATTGTAGTTTGTGTTGTTTTATAACTGAACGGAGCGAATAGTCTGGAATAGTTATTAAATATTTGTTGTGCTAGGTACATTATTTATAATAACTTCAAAGAGTACTGGTTCAGTTTGTCCCTCAAGAATGTGCAAAAGCCGGAGTTATGTTTCGCCAGGACGCAAAATGTTTTACGATACGTTTGTGGATATTTAATAAAAAAATGTTTGAGTATACATTCATGTGATATATGCACCAAATATGCAAAGGCACACAGTGAGTTAGATGATACATCGTTGTTTTGCCATTTACGTGCCTATGAAAATAATAAAGAGTGAAAATAATAATTTAGATATTTTTGGCAATCTTCAGATGTCACATGACAATTTTGTATCTTTTGTTTCTTCATTAGAACTTGTTTTTAATAAATATTATGAAGAATATGGGACAAGACATTTTATTAAAGAAATATATATAATATGCAAACAAATTAATTTCAAACATCCATGTACTAGTTTTCCCCTAAAATATGTAACTAAATTATATCTGCTTATGAAATTGTATTATACATTAAAAAAGATAAACCTTAATTTTAAAACAGCCAATAAAAACAAACTAATTATATGGAGGCATGAATAAATACCTAAGTATTCTGATGTTAGCTTGTTTATTTATTTCGTTTGAAACTTAAATGAACACCTACCCTATCTTTACAGGATGTTTTAAAACGGGCCAATTGAAGGTAAGTATCTCAAGTGTCCTTATAAAGAACCCAAAGTTTTAAATTTCAAGCAAATCTCTTCTTATATTAAAAAATCCGCCATATTGGATTATTATGGGCTAATTTGATTTTTTTTCTTCAAAAATATTATAAAAGTGTCACCGGAACTCAATACGTGTGCAACATTTCGGAAAAATTGGGATAATAGAAGTGATCGATAAAACTGCTGCCAGATTTGCAACAAACAAAGGTATGGTAAAGTTAAATAAAATCGTTTAAAAATATAAACTATTTACCGCGATATCTCTAATGGTTTACTAAGGCAGTGTTTTTTATCGCTGGCAATAAGTATTACATTAAAAATATTACTCCATAAAATATGTTGGGACATTTGTACTAAACCAATATTACAGCATCTTAAACAAATTAGCCTTTACTTTTAACTTTAACAAACTCACCTATTAAAGT